AGACACAATCTCTTGCCAGGAACATACTTGTCACTTTAGAAAATAGTAAAACTTGCCCAAACTTGTATTTTATTGGCATAATTTACTCTACCCCACAAAGAAGCACTGAAGCAGATTAAAACCATAAAAATAAAGTCATAACCTCACATTTTCCAATATCAAAATAAAATGGTTATAATTATCCATAACATAAATGGAAATCTCAGGTACTTAGCGTTAGTTTTTTTTCTACACTGAAAATATGATACAAAGATAAATGATATTCTAAAAAATCAGTAACCAGAGAGGTTTTCAAATTATAGACCTCCGGAACATGATTTATGATCAATACCAACCTAATTTTTTTTCTATATATTCTGTAGCTATGAGAGTATACCATGAGAATTGATCTTTAAAATCACAGCCCAAAGATATTCAAAAATCTTAAAATATTTTCTTAATTATAAAGCAAATGAACAAAAAACATTGAAAAGTGTCAACATCGGTTTTAGTGATAATTCTATTTTATTATATTTTTATTATCTAAAAACCAATAATTTATGCATTGATTACCACATCTGATATCTTTCTTTTAAACCAAATATATAATTAACCAGAACACAATTTCTGCAAACCCTATAAATTTGTTCAATCACTTTAATTCTGTTTATCCAAGAGAAGATGCAGGCTTGTCCTTCTTTAATATTTTTATTGGAAAAACAGCACACTAGTCAGAGGTATAAATAGCAACAAAGATAAATGTTTTAGTCCACACTAAAAACAATTTTTATCTTTAGATAATCAGAGAATTTTAGAATGGTTATGTTAGCCATATAGTCCAACCCATAATGAAAACAGAATCCTCACTACCACATACTCAACAAAGTATCATGTGATTGCTGCTCAAAGACTTCCATTGAAAGGAAACCATTACCTTCCAAAGCAACCCATTTCACTTATCAGTAGGTGCCACTTGTTAGGAAGCTTTTTCCTGGCATCCAGCCTCAATTTGCTTCTTTCTATTTTCTATACATTGCCCTTAGTCTGAAGTTAGGGGTACATGGACCTAACTCCTCCTCTGCACTTTTTATATGTCCCTGAGCCCCTTTTTATCCAAATTTGAATATACCGCCATTTCATTGGTGACAAAAACAAGCTACTAGCTTTTTTTTTTAACCATGATGTATATGAAATAAATGTAACTTATAACAATTTAGGTGACATGATGAAGGAAAGACATAAACTGTGACTTTATGATAATTTTTTCTAATAATGACCATTTCCCTGAAATAATTCCTTTTAAAATTTCTCCATATTCAAGTGTGTGTGAAAAGTCAAATGCTCAGGAGCAAGTTGACCTTGGTGCTGCCCAACACACTCCCTTAGATGTGTTTCTGATGCTTTTTTTGTGATAGAGAGAAGCCTAGGTAGTAGATTTGAGCTCCCTTCAATAATTTCTGGAAAAGTGTCTTAGGAAATTGCACAATGGAGAAGCAAGTAGTTTGGGAACAGAGGTGATTGAAGTTAATTATCAGAGACATTGATTCTGCTGTGGGTGAGTTATTAATCCTGGGGGATTTGAGGTAAGCACTACAATCTCTGGAGGAGAATTGGGAAGAAAAAAAAGATTAACTAAGAAATTACCTAATTTGCCAGGAAGCACTCTCAAGAGGCATATTATTAAGGAGAGTTTTATTTTTCTGATTTGTTTATCTTATCTTCACAGCTAATTAGAAATAAAAATCACAAATAGGGTTCAGAAGATTTAACAAAACAATGTTGATTCACTTTCTAAAGCTTTAAACATAAATTATTTTTCCATGGAAATGAAACATGGTTAACTTAATGTAGTATGTTAATAGTTAACTTAATGTAGTATTTTATAACAGATATATTTCTTAGGTCCAATCAATACTATAGAAATCCTTTGGGAGTAACATTAATTTTCCAGAGATGTTGATAGATGTGATATTCCCAACCTGAAAATGTGCCTCTGGAGATTTTGAGAACTAAACAAGTTAGTAGTTTTTTTTTTGTTTTGTTTTGTTGTGTTTTTGTTTTTGTTTTCTTTTTAAATTTGGTAGGGTGGTAGCATACACTTGGACTTCTTAGACAAGGAAAGCCTCAGTGGGAATATCTATGGATTTTAGTTCAAATGATGCCACATGGAAAGGTGACTGAATAAAAGGGAATTGTGTTCCCTGATTATTTGTTTGTGTAGGGGTTCAGTAGAAGGCAGGGAGAGAAACTAAAAAATAGCTTTCTAGAAATTCATGTGGCAGATTCTCCAATGAGAGAATGCTAATAGGCCAAGATTTATTGTAGTGTACATAAAAGGCACTCAGGAAGATCAAAGAAAAAGAGAAACAAGTATATGCTTATCTTGCCTGCAATAGTTCATAAGTGGGCAGATGCCAGGAAAGGCTACCTGACAACCCCCACAGTACAGGAACTAGTAAGTTTCCATTTAAGTTTTTAAGTGACACATCAGCCAGAAATCCATTCATTCTAAGATTGTCTTTTGGTCTAGGAGTCCAAGAGTATATTCAAAGGAGTTTGAGCCACGTACAGAAGGCAAAAGGTCATAAAAAGAAGAGGCTTTCACATTACCTTAAGCCTCTTACAGGGTCTCCTTATTTTCCACATTAGCCTTTGGAGAACTATTCATATGAGAAATCATAGGATCATAGAAAGTTTGACTATGTTTTCACTATATAGGTAGAGAGAGATTTTGTAAGAACTAATTGAATAGATACAAAATACTGAGCTAGTTAGCCTGTTAATTATGCCCTTAAGAGCAAAGTCAAAAAGGACTGAAACATAACCTAGCTTTCCCCACTGGTCTATATTGTTTATCTCATTTAAAGAACTTAAAATCTTTATTTTTAGGTTGCTAGTTATATCACCATCACAACTCTAAATCCCTATATAAATGTCAGGTATTGTTATTATTATCACCATTACTATTATCATCATGAAATTGAAGCAGAAATCAGACTTCAGCCAATGTAAATGCCACCTAATTTGTGCCAGAGCCTGTTCTTAATGACCAAATCAGACAACTGCTACTTGATATACAAAAACAGGATAAAGTTGTTTGGGGATCCATAAACTTTATGACATGAAGTAAAGGAAAGGTATACAATGGCAAATTGTATCCTTCTAAATCCACCCTATTTGGGAAGGGGATTGTTTTGAATTTTTCCTCACCTTTTATCTTACTCTGTTAAGGGTTTGCAATATAATTTGGGAACTATCTTCAAGAGATTTGTGTACCTACCTGAGTCATATTTACAACCCTTTTAAAATGTTGCAAAGATAACACTCTGTTTCTACCCTGATAATCTATGTAAATAATTCAATTGTGACTGGAACACATTAGAAGCAGCATAGTTGATAGACACAGCACTGACTGAATCAGGAGAAATAGGTACCAGCCCTGGTTCCACCACTTCGTGATTTTAGGACAGTAAATAAATGTAACGAACTAGTTGGCAACTTAGGTACTTGAGTAATGATATTCTCACTAGAGAAAAATTCATCAATTTTATTTAAAGTTTTGGTGGTAGTAAGGATAATTTACATCCTTCATTCATTCATTTATTCATTCAATTTAGCAATCCCTAATAGCTCAACTTTTTGCAGAATTACAAAGACTGAACTATTCCCTTTGCCTGCACACTCCCCAACACACCTGCAATACCTTCTGCTTTTGTTTTACTTATTTGTTTTCTCCAAACACCCCCCCCAATGCCATACAGAGATGACAATGACAATATACTTCCTGTACACCATGACCATGTCTGTCCTTGTCCATTCCCGTGGTGGTTCAACTACTTTGCTTTCTCTCTTATGCCAATGTCTTTGCCATGTGGGGGGCCCTCATTCCTGCACCCTTAGTATTTCACTAATTTTTCTCCCTTCAAAGGGTTTTATGACAGTGATCAGTGAGGAAGCAAGGTGTTAGCTAATACATCTGCATTGTGTATTTGAGAGTGAAAGTAGCATTTGTTTTGGAATCTCTTGAGCATTTTAATTAGTCAAGAGGGCAAAGAAAGGAAAAAAAGAATTTCACAATAACTGAATTTGACTCAGTTTTTATAGAGATGAGGCATTGACTTTTATGGTTCTAGCTGGACTGTGATACAGTTCCCCAGAGGCTATGGTTGTAGTCCCTGCATAGGTTATCATGAATATATAAGAAGCTTCAGGACAAAAAGAACAATGGTTCCAAAGTTTGTTCATAGCATTGAGGTCATTCATTTCCAAAGGAAATGGCAATGTAGTAGACCCAACCAAGCTGGAAACACTTCGATTATGGACTACTGACAATTTTCAAATCTCAAGTCACTTAATTTGTCTATCTCAGTTTTCTCATCTGTAAAATGGGAATAATAATAGCACTTATCTCCAAGTATTTCTGTGAAGATAAAATCAGATATTTTAAAACACTTTGCAAATCCTAACAAACAATATAAATGCTATTATTACCATTTATTATTATAATATGAATACTACCTTAGTTAAGTTGAGAGCATTTCATTATCAGATAGGCTATGAAATGAAAATGTTTTCAGCAATAGTAATTCTTGAAGATTAACTAATAAGTCTTGTTGTTTGTGAGTCATTTTAGTTGTGTCCAACTCTCCTGACCCCATGTGGGGTTTTCTGGCAAAGACAGTGGTTTGCCATTTCCTTCTCCAGCTCATTTGACTATCAAATAATATAGCAATTGTGACCTGAATCTGTGGTAGGAATATCTACCTTAATAAAATCAGATCCATGAAGAATTGAGCAATTAAGCCACCACAAGATAAGAAATAATCCTAAGGCACATAGTCCTATGGGTTTCCAGTTCACATCCACAGGTCAAGAAATGAAGATAGCTTGCAAACAACAGCACCTTTTCAAGCTTAGATTAAGGAGTTCTACCTGAAATAGTTCTGCTCTCATTCATAAGGTATAGTTTATGCATGGTTCTTCTTAAAAGAATAGAACTAGACTACATGAAACTGATTAATTCAATGGTCACCTGAAGCGGGGACCATTGAGAATGTCTCCTCCTGACCTGCACAATTTATGGCCCGCCCCATCACAGGAAGGCTGTTGGCTGTCACGTGACCCACAGCGACCAATCGCCGTGGTCTGGCTTGCCACGCGTCACGTGACAGCCATCCTAAGTGCTGCCTCGTGGGCCATTTGTTGTGGAATCCTGAACTAGTCCCAGTAATCTCATGGCAATGTCATGATTTAAATAAGTTTTTACCACACCTAATCTCTTACTAAGAAAATGCCACGATAACAAATGCATCTAAAGCAATGTAAAATCGATCCCTAGTGTGAGAAAGACACACCAAAGATAAATCTGAGAATTAATGGCAACTCAATCCTGGGAGTTTGGTTGAGCAAAACCATGAAGATCTGCAGAAATAACTTTAGGCCAGTTCTGTATAGTTATTTTCCAGTTAAATCAGCCCTCTCAACATTAATTTTACCTGGACTGCCGGCTAAGGCCAAAAACATATTGGTTTCTCCTGAATCGTCCAGCTAATTCACTGACCATATTTCTGTGTTAGAAAATGTTATATAAATCTAGCCTTAGTCAGCAGTTTATAGCATCCATTTCAAACTTCTTTGTGACTGTCATTCTTGGCTGGTATAAAATTAAATTATAAGAAAATGAACTGTGTGTGAATCAAACATCAAAGGCTTGAGGATAAATGCCATTACGGTATATTAATCCACCTGCTTCAATCAATAGTCCTTATCTTTTCACTGTATCTGTTCTCCAGGGGCTACTTGCCTAACAGCTGAATCAGTAGCAAGTTCTTTGCATACTAATGACAGTCCTTCAATGATCCACTTCAAATGCTCACTAATAAGTGAACACCTACCAAGAAAGTCTCAAATAAACTTGGACAGGGAGCATTAATCACTTCTAAGTAGTCTAAACTTTTACAAAACAGATGGGTGAATTTAGTTTCTGCCCCAGCAGGACATTGTTGTATTTATTCAGGTATTAAATTTAGACTAAAATGCAAAATATACATCTTTTTAAAATGGCTTCTGATATAAATCACATACTCATAAATAATAATTATATGAAGAATGCTGAATTCATTAAAATAGACATGAAAATATAGAAAACAAGGAGACAAAAACAACAGCAAAAATGAGACCACTGAATAATTGAATTTGCTGCTTTTTTATTTGATACAGCAGCTATAAGAATCTGTTGCCAGAGAGCTCAGTTGGTTAGAATATATGGTTAAATCTTTTCAATTTTATTCTCTTCTATTCAGTGAACATTATAACAAGCCGAAGTCATGTGTTTGATCCCATTTGCACCAGTGTACTTGGCTTTGTTTCACAGCCAGACACTGAATCTAAAAAATCTAAGCCAGCTGTCTCCTAAATGTGAATCATTGGTTCAAAAGGGGACCCAGCTAAAGTTAAGATGGATTAGCAAAATTCCATTATTATTATTATAGGAAAAATAATTTAGACCACCTTTCCTATGAAAAATAGGCAAATATAATAGCTGTACATAAGTGTGTGTATACTGTATATAACATTATATCAATAGTAGGTCAATATCAAATATAGATATATAAATCATATATATGTTGTATGTATATGCTGTATATTATATTACCCTACCAACAGTAGTCTATTATCATATAAATATATTGACATATATGTATAATATATTACCTAGTTTATCCCAATAAATATTCTGTCTATAAAAATTAGACAAATTTGCTAAATATGAGTTTACTTTATGACTTGAGATCTGACATTGCAAGTCTCCCTTTTCTTTTTCTTCATAATATTTCTTTGATATTCTTGTCTATTTGTTCCTTTATATAAATATCATCAATTTACCTAATTCTACAAAGTTGCTAAAGGCATTGTGATTGAAATTCTTTTCAATCTATATAGTAATTTGTGGTAATATTGTTGTCTTTACTTCCTGGGCTCAACCTACTCATACATCACAGAATTTCAGAGTTGGCAGAAACATTGGTAGCCATCTAACACAATATAAACTGAAAAAAAATTCCCTCTATGATATACTAAGAAGTAGTCAGCTAACCTTTGCCTGAAACAGACCTCCAATGAAAGATAACTCGCCCAAAAAAGAATTGATTTGACTAGGGAATAGCTAAGTGATAAGTAAATGTAATGGAATATTAATGTATCATAAGAAATGTCAGACGTGAAGATTTCAGAGAAGCAATGTAGAGTAAAAGAAGAAGAACCAGGAAAATCTTATTTTCAGTGACCAAACAATGTAATTGGAAAAAAAGCAATAAGAAGAAGCTAAGTGCTTCTTCTTGGCCCTAAAGAGATGAGAAACTTCACTTCTCTCCCTTCTTTGACAATGTGGGGGACAACAAATGGAGAATAGCATATATACTGTCAGAATTTGTTGATGTTTTGCTAGTTTTTTTCTGAATTTTTTTAATATTTTCATTACAAGGAATAGCTCATCATATAGAGAAAATATGTTCAGAGATTAAGGGAACATAAAACTGATTTTTAAAAATTACTTTAAAAAATAAAGAGAACCCACCACCTTCCAAAAGAGCCCATTTTATTTCTGAATCGCTCTGATTATTAGGAAATTGTTGTTGTTGTTTTTGCTGTTTTCCTTACCTGTAGGACAATTATAGTTTCCTGCAATTTATTATGATTCTAGATTCAAAGTAAAACAGACAGCTCTCCATGGATGTAAATGTTACTCATGTAACTACAGCATTTCAAGGAAACTTGAAATTAATTTTATTCTGCCTAGACCCAGAGGGCAAAACTAAGAGCAGTACCTGGCTGACACAAAGGGGCAGGACATGGCAAAAACACTGAACAACAATAAGGATTTAGAAAGTCTTTGATAGGCTAGAATACTGGGCCAAATCAGAGGAGATCAATGTCAATAGGGAAAAATGTAGAGCCTTATATATAGGTTCCAAAAAATCACCTTTGTAAGATCAGGGAAGCAAAGCTGGACAGCCCTTTGTTGAAAGACAGTCAAGACAGTCTGGGAATAATTGGACTGAAAACTCAATATGAGTCAGTGTGATATTCAATTCAACAAGCATTTATTAGATGCCACCTGCATGCAAGTTACTAGGATTCAAAGTCAAATATGAAAGAGTGCTTGCCTTTAAGAAGATCATATTTATTGATATTGCAGTGAACAGAGCTAATGTTATCCTAGGCTACTTTAAGAAAAGTGTCACATCCAGGAATTAAGAAGTATAAGACAGCCCAACTGAACTTTTCCCTAGTCAGAGCACATAATAGAGTAGCATTTTCATTTCTGAGCCCCACATTTTTAGGAAGGTTATTGAAAATACGGAGAGCATCAAGAGGAGGGTTAATAAGATGGTGAAGAGCTTCCATTTGAAGGAATTAGGTATATTTAGATTGGATAAGATTTAGAGGGGAACTTGTGTTATTGCTTCAGAATTCCAGACACTTTTTGAACTTTCTTTTTCTTTTTAAGGCTGAACTTTGTTTTACCTTATCAATTTTTTTTAATATTGATTATCATTGAATATGGTAGAAATCCAAATTCTATGAAATTTCCTTCTACTCTGTAATCATAATTATGTGTGATGCATAATAACAGTATGGAAAAAGAATTATAACATTTCTCCATCATCACAGAAGGGATATCTTTTTACTATATCTATTTACAAAGGGCTATTTGCTTGGCAGCTGAATCAGAAAAACTTGAGTTCATGAACAAGAGAGTATTTTGCATACTAATAACTGCCCTTCACAAACTTCTCCAATCAGTAGCTAAGGGCAAATACTTAAAAATAAAGAACACAATGTTATGCTTACAAATGTTATGCTAATTTTTCAGCTGGTGGAATGAGACCCAGAAATATCAATTTTACTGATTTCTAAATGTAGAATCACAGAATCTCAGAGTTGGAAGGGATTTCAAAGACCATCTAGTTCAACCAATGCTTGAATAGGAATCCCTTTCAAAATATTCCAGATATGTAGTCATCCAGCCTTGGTATGTAGATCTCTAATGAAGGGGAAAGTACTTTCTCTTGAGGTAGACCATTTCCCCTTGGAATAATCTAATCACTGAAGAATTTTTGCTTGTATCAAGTATAATTATAACTCTCTGTAACTCCAGCTGTTGATCCTGGTTTGGCCTCCTGGGACCAACAGAGCAAAACAATTATCTCCTGTACTTTCAAATACTTGAAAACAGCTATTAAATCTCAATCCTTATGTTCCCTAAGCCTTCCTTCCTCCACATAAAACTGCTAGGCTTGGTATGAATTAGATGCCCATTGAGGGACTTTTCAGCTCCAAATTCTCTGAGGAACCCTGAAACAACACCACATCAATTGATTCAATTCAAATAAAATTGAGTAAATATTCATTAGGTGCCTACTCTGTGCAGAGCAGTGTTCTTGTTGTAGAATTCTTTACTTTTAACACATAGTACCAGTTGCCTTTTACAATTAATGATATATAGTTATATTATACTTTCTTTTAACAAGAAAACTACTTTTCTAATAGTTACATATTTCCTATTTTTTATATTTAAACAACAGCAAGAATTTATTAAGTGCTTCTATGTAGTTGTCTGCATGTTGTCCTTCCCCCCATTAGACTATGAGATCCTTGAGGGCAGATACTTTTTTTTTTTTTTGCTTATGTTTGTATCTCCAATGCTGGCACACAGCAAATGTTTCACAAATGTTTATTGACTGACTGCCTGAAGAAACAAAGAAAGACAAAATATACCAACAAAAACAAAAACAAAACAGAAAGACAAAATTTCTGTCCTCAAGGATTTCACAATCTAATGGGGGTTAGGGGAAACTACATGTAAACAACTACATACATAAAATATATGCAGGGTAAACTAGAAATAATGGGAGGGGTGACAGGGTAAGTGAAGAGACTGGGAAAGGTATCTTTCAGAAGCTACCTCTCCAGCTGAATCTTGAATGGGGGAATCAAGAAGAAGAGACAAAAAGGTAAAGCAGTCCAAGCAAAGGAGACAGGGATTAAAAATAGATGGATCTGAGAGATAAGTGGCATTCCTGAGGAAGAGCAAGGCAGCCAGTGACACTGGATTAGATTGTAGACTAAAGAGAAGAGGCTAAAGCATAAGAAGATTGGAAAGGTAGGAAGGGGCCAGGTTGTTAAAGACTTTAAAAGCCAAACAGAGATTACTATATTTGATCCTGGAGGTAATAAGGAGCCACTGGTGTTTCAGGGCGTGGTGGGTGAAAGAAGGTGGCAACATGCCCATATCTGCACTTTAGGAAAATCATTTTGACATTTAACTAGAGCATGGACTGGAGAGGATTTTGAGGAAAGTTGGCCAACAAATGGACTACTATAATAGTCCAGGAGTAAAGTGATGATGGCTTGCACCAGAGTGGTGGTTGGGTCAGTAGAGAGAAGAGGATATAAAAGGGAGATGTTGAGAAGGTAATAGTAACTGGACTTGACCACAGATTAAATATGTGGGAGTGAATGAACATGAAGAATTGAGAATGACATGAAGACTAGGAGTCTGGACAATTAGGATAGTGGTATAGTCAATAGTGAAAGAGAATTTGGGAAGAGGGGAGAATGTCTGGGAAAAGACAATGAGATCTATTTTGAACACAGTAATTTAAGATGTCTATGGGACATCCAGTTTGAGATATCCAATTGGCAGTTACAGACATGAGATTGGAAGTCAGTTATTCCATTGGAGGAAGAAGCCTAAAGATGCAAGACGCAGAATTCCAATGTACCAAGTTTTCTGGGGAGATATTTTAGTATCTTCTCAGTCCTAAAATATGCTTATATCTTCTAAAAATTATCTAGGTATTCATAAATTAACATTAATTTTTTATTAATTTTAAGAAGACTTATTAAGTCTTGCTGGTACAAAAAAATCTATCTTACATATTGCAATTGTATTACTGAGTGCTTTTACTTTTTTATCTTATTTTTTCTTTTTTAGTAAAGTCAAATCCAGGTCAGTACACAGGGATACATAATGAGTTTGCCTGTATCTGGGACTGCTTTAAAACAGACGCAATTATCAGTGGTCATCTTCTCATTTTCTGGGGTTTTTTGTTTTTGTTTGTTTTTTTCCATAGTCAGAGTAGCAGAGGCCTACAAATACAACATACCATTTCATATAGAAATATCAGCTTATGACTTAATGAATGTTGGTAGACATAGCTTTGCATCCTAGAATAAAACTAAATTCCAGACCATTCTTGACACTTATTCACGAGTGTTTGTTTTTTGTTTTTGTTTTTTTTTTTTCCATGCCTACGACTTCATGGAAACATCATCATGAATAAGATGGCATTGGTGAAAACAATCTGAAATGACAGTTTTCTTTTTGGAGATCCTTATGCTTTAAAAGACTAAGAAAGAAGGTGCAGGATCCTTCTTTTTTAGCTGTCCAAAGAAAATCCACAAGTTATGACAAAAATGGCTTATAATGCTTGTATCATCTAGTTTTCAATAAAATATTCGGTGAACAAAGAATTTTTGAATATATTGCATTTTTCATGAACATTTTTATCCTGTTTAAATGGAAACACAACATTCAAAGCCAATGAAGAGAACAAGCACTTTTAGCACTTAGTAGGTAGATTTAGAGTGTTTGGTTTATGGATAATTTCTAAATATATCCTTCCCGCCTCAGATATCTTGAGTTAGGTTCACACAGCATACAGAGAAGGAGACTGGGTAGTAATCAAAGTAATTACCCAGTTAATTTGACACATGTTAATAGTCACAAGAAGTGTAACAGACCAAAGCATCATTTTAACAGTTAATATTGATCAACTAAATTTAATAGTTTTTAGATTCCTTATTTTGTGCAGATAAAATGAGATATTTGTAAAGTGCTTAGCACAGTGCCAGGCACATAGCAGACTCTTCCCCTACTATAGAGTCATTTGCTACATCTAAAAAGCACAAGCAATAAAACAATAATCAATGTCCATGCTCACCCTGGTCAACAATAGCCATTTTTATTTTTTAAAAAAAAGTCAAAATTAGTGATAGATTGACCACATTCTCTCTTCCCTAAATAAAATTAATAGCTTATTTATTTTGGAGGGAATGTGCTTATTTGAATATTTCATTTCATTGATGTAGGGTATTTTCAGTGTGTAAATACTGTAGATTAGAAAGTTGTAGACAATTTATAGTCTTAGAAAGTGACTCAGAAGTTAAGTGACTTGTCTGTGGTCACACAGCAAGAACATGTGAAAGGCCGGACTTGAACCCAGAGCTTTCATACTTCAAACCAAGCTTCTCTTCTCTATTTCACTTTGTCTCTACTAAAGTAGACTATCCTCTTCCTGAGGAAAGAGGTAAATAATGCATACATGTCTGGTAAAATGTCTGAGATGAAATTAATATTTCTGTATGAGAGTTATGTTCACTTGTTCTCTTTGAAAGGTAAAAACAAACAAACCTGCAACTTATTTTTATTTCTATATAGGATTTGCTTCTTTTCATAATGTTCATTTCTCAGAACAAACACCAATTACTAATGCTCTTTTAAACCAACTATTAATGAAAAATTGATTTTAAAAAACTCCCACATTTTCCAGAAAAAAATCAACACATGTATTATAAATGACTCATCACCAAGTTGAAAAAACAAAAAAAAAAACTACTTTGCATCTTACCAGGTGAAGATAAGACAAAGTAATGTGGATATTAAAATCAAAACTTGATTAAACATTGCTGATTGTGTCCGCTGAATGGCTCTATGAAGATCATTCTAAAGTAAAAGTAAAGACAAGTAGTTACTCTTGGAATATGTAAAAATTACATCACTTCCTACAGTATCTTCCTTCCAAAACACGCACATTATTCAGAAAATATTTGTGTAGAAATCTCACTGTACCTCTACCTTTTTTTGGCTCTCTGTTATTACAATCATTGTTTGGCCTAGACCTGGGAGTTCCACTAAGGGAACTACCTCTCTGCCAATGCAAATCAGCAATTATTCTGCAGATAATGGTCTTAAAGAGTCCCCTGCAGAATTGAGAGGCTAAATGATTTGCTCAGGGTCACGCATTCAATAAGCATCAGAGGCGTCACTTGAATACAGGTTTTCCTAATTCATTGGCCATCTTTTTATATATTATGCTGGGCAGCTCCTCACATCTCATATATAGTTAGTTAAACTGTCATAACAAGGAAAGGATGCAGTAGCTGACAAAGGTCATCCCAGTTGGAAAATGAAGCATTCATTGATGCCATTATCAAAAAATTGTTTGAAGGTTTATAAATCTGTTCTTCCTAAACCCCTCAGCACTTCTTTTCTAGTCCTCTGGGAATCATAGCTTCTTGTTGGACAAATGCTAATGGAAAGCCTTTCTCTTAAAAAAAAAATAGAGTATCCAAAGGAAGGGAGAGATAATAGCATGAAAATATACAATCAACTTTAATTTTGAATTATGATAATAACTTGACAAATAAAAATTCATTGATCCTTTTAAAACTTAACCTTTTCTCTAACAGACCTCATTTTTAAAGAAAACTCATTGACTGATTTGAGGCTCATCTCTTAGCCTTACTCTGCTTTCCTTCTGGGAGAAGGACTAATGAGTAGAAAAAGGGACAAAAGATCATCATGAGTAGGGAGAAGCTAAGGGCAAAAATATTTCCAAAATGGGTAATCCAGGCATAAATGAGCATTGCCTGTATTACACCAACTATATCTCCATTTTAATTTGAATCAATGGGTTATTTTTCTCATTTATGTAACTTTCCCAAGTAACTATTTGTAATATGAGTTGTCAGAAGGTTATTTTGTTTTAAATGTAATTTATGTAATCTGTTTTTAGTGAAACAAATATTTCCCTTTGGACAATTAGAAAGACAGCCAAATGGCCATGCAAAATATTCCACAGTCAGTCACTCCCCTATTACATTACTTAATCATTGGCTGAGAGCTTACATGAGACCCAAGTGACTGCAGGATAGAATTTGTTTTAAGCATTTGCTCACTTATGAAAACACAAATGTTCTCTAAAATGTTTTGACAACCAAAACTTGTGTCAGAACACACTTGTTAGGATATGTCTGAAACATATTTGTCTTCCCCCACAAGATTTTATTTTCTAATGTAACCTTGGCCATGGTGTTCTTGTTTCTTCCTCATATAAAACCTCATGGTAGATATTACCCATTAATGCCCTATATGCCACTTGGAAATTTCATTTTCTTTTTTCAGCTACTGAGCATTAGCTCCTTAAAATTTAGAAAATAAAAACAAAAATTCATTTAGTTAATTACTTTTGATATACTTCTTAGATATTGTCCTACTCCTGCTATGGGAGCCAATCTTAGACAAAAAGGCTACTGTAAAAGTATCCATCATCAAGATCCTAATTCATCATTTCTTGCTCTGTTTCACATTCCTCTTTTTCCCTCTGAGTATTCCTTCTAGGGCTCTGAATTTCCAAAACTGCAATAGACTTATCTGTTTGGGGTCATGCATTATTCTTCTTAAACAGAGTAGGTAGCAAACCAGAGCCTATGAAAGAAGGACCTTATCTTTCTCCATGGGGTCTTTATTGCTTTACAAATTTCATGAAACACTTGGCTACCACAAATAGAGGTCTCAAACACCTACTACAAACACTTTCCTAGCTGCTTTTCTAGGTCTTGGATCCAAAAACCAGGAGGAACCGAGTTTCAATCCAGGCTCTTCAATTTAATACCTGTATGACCAGGGGCAAGTCACTGAACTGCTCCCAGACTCAATTTCCTCATCTGTGAAATGGGTATATTATTATTCTCCCTCGTTGGGATTTTTGTGAGGAAAATACATTATAACCTGAAAGCCCTATATAAATGTAATGATCTTCAACATCATTTCCCTGATGTCATTAAACTGCTAGTATCTAAGAACATAATTTTGAGTGTATAAGTAACTTTAAATGAGCAACAAGGACAATCAGTTATTAGTTTAGTAGTCTCTAAGATCATCTGAACTTTTTGTATTCTGCCAGGTCAGAATTTTATTGTGGTTGCAGACAACAGGTGTGGAATTAGGGTAAAGGGAATAGTAAGCATCAGAGACTGGTAAACTTAATGGTTTGAAATTATAGGAATATTCCCAGTTTAGCTTTGCTCTAGATGGTCAGGATGGGGAAAAACTTGGCAAAGTCACTGGGCAAGGACATTTTCTTCTCAAGCACTCTTGCTTTCCCAATTATCTTTTTAAAAAACTTATTTCAAGATACAGATTTTCTTTTATTTTTGTAAAATAAACACAACAGAAGATATGAAAAAAAAACACAATTAAGTTTACTACAATATGAAAGAGTTGGAAATTATTTTTAAGTTGAATGCATTTGACACCAATAAATTATTTAGGGGCTATGGAAAAGCCAAAAAAGAATAACTAATAAAACCCAATAAAACAAGGTACTGAAATCATAATCTACTTGTGTTTAATCTGAATAATAGTATCAAATTTGAAATAATGAAAGTTTTTGAACCACAATTTCAGTTCAACTTTATACTTACAATCATATTTTCCAAAGCATGTTTGGCAAGCCAACAATTTAGAAAGACAGGGATGAATAGATTTCTTAAGGAAGGCCAGAATATCTGGAAAATAAATTACAACTAAAACCTTTTTTGTTAAAAAAAAAAGACATCAATTAAATTGAAAAGGTGTTTCAATGCAAATAAATTAAGCATTAAAAAGTTACATTAATGGAAGAGCTGCACAAATTTGAAAGCAACACCCAAAGTCCTCTCCTCTTATGGGAAAGGTGAAGGTTATGTAGCTAACAGTAGTAATGAGAGATAGATAATTGTGATCGATTTTTGAAGGCTTAGTATCTCTTAGGGAAATATAAAGTGTAAGAAGAGGATAGAAATGCACCCCAATAAATAATGGAGCCTAACTAAACAAAAAGTTCTGTTATCCATTCTCTGTAGAAAGCTAGCTAAACTCTGGATCTTGTTTTTACAACTGGTAGCATCAGGAAATGGGACAGGACAAAGCCCCCATTGCTTCTATATCTGGCCATCAAACATTTTAAAATGCCTTGAATTATCCAATGCTCAATCAATTTTAAATAGAGACTACTCATTTCATTTAATAAAACTCCAGCTGTTTTGCTTACATTAGTTATTCAAACTGAAAAACTGTCAGATCTGAACAACAGCTGGAGAGGTTGCTCAAGAGTTTTATAACCATAAATAGTCATGTAGCTTACTCCAATGTAGGTCATGATTGAAAGAAGAAGAAAAAACATATCACCTCATGTTAAACTGCTACAAACCCTGAATTCACAATAAGTCATTTTATAAAGAGGCAACAGCTCATTTAAGCTGAAATTCCCTTTTGCACATGGGAAAGTACTGGCTGTATATTCATGGATAAACCTAGATGAAGAGAAGAATTTCTGGCAATTTCCTGGCAGTCTCTGTACTGGAGAGAGAATTAGGTTCAGTAAATTATGATGAACAACTAAAAATGCATAAATCAATGTGATTTTAAATGCACAAGTTATGTAAGAAAAATCATATTATTCTGCCCAATTCTTCTATCATTGCTACACAACATTCTTAAAATAAATACAATTTCTGTTCTGTTATTGACCCTAGTACTAGATATTTAAGCAGCAATTTTTATGAATATACAGCTTTACAGGAGGACAAACATGGGCCAACCACACCAAGTACTCTCTATCTGCAGAGCTTTATTCTGAAACAATAGACAGAATCTCCATTAATTTTCATTTAATCACAGAATCTATCAAGCTGATGTTAATTCATTATATTTTTCTTTATTGACATAAGCATAGCCGGTCATCCAAAATATTAAATATTTATTACCAACTTTTATCCTTAAAGACTCAACTTAACTCAAATGGCATGCAGTTTTTCTTCCTTCTAGGGGACTTACTGAGATGATGAAGGGGACAGCATTAATGATTTCCAGGATGAAGGGGATGCGTAAAATCTGCTCCCAGATATTTCCCTTTTAAGAAAAAAGAATAGAGGTAGAAGAAATATATACTGAATCCCATCAAGAAGAGAAAAATAACTAAATATAGGCCTTTCTCTGGCTACAGTAGCGTACATGTTAATATGATACAGCATTTTTAGAGCTTAAAGTATACTAGCAACTAAATTTGGAGACCCCTGTTATAAGCAATTTGACTCCCATAATTTTCTGCAAAATTAGAAAATAAATTCCTATCCATGGAATTACATGAACACTATTTTTATAGTATTTTCATCCTACAACATTTACAGGCACAAAATTGTAGATTAAAATTTTGTCCTACTGGTGCTACATTGGAAGAAACACAAAATAATGTTTGTTTGTTTTTCCTATCACATGCATGACAGCATTCAAAGTTAGCTATCATTTCTCTACTAAATGTCTCTTTTAAACTGTTCCTCATATTATTGATATATTCCCATTTCTAGGCCCTTCAGCATGTTGGTAGCTCTTCTCTAAATGCCTGACTTTATGATTCTCAAGCTTGAACACAAGACCCTGGATATGATCAAATGACATGACATAATATGTGAAAATTGATTTGCAAACCTTAAAGTGCTATGTAAACATCAGCTATTATTTTTGTTTGGGTTTTCATATTTTAGTTGGAACCTATATTTTCTTCATTATTATGGAACTCCAGGAATGGAAACTCCTTCCACTGTCGCAGCCCAGCAATTCATCCATACTTTATAGTCTCATGGAGTGGTTACAGCCCTGAGATGAAGTGATTTATTCATAGGCACAATGCTAGTATGTGTCATAGTATTTAACACAGCTTTTGACCCCAGTTCTTTCTGATTCCAAGTCTAGCAATTTACTATGTGCCTCTGTCTTTCATTTATTATTGTACTAAATATTTATTGTCATTATTATTTACATGGCCTACAGTAGGCACTTAATAAATTGTTATTTGTTGATGTATTGATTAATCTGGGTATTACATTTCAGTTAATTCATATTAACTCATGCCTTTAACTTGAACTATTTAATTCTTGAAACTAAAGGCAGAATTTCACATTTTACCCATGTGAACCACAGGAATATCAATTACCACTAGAAATTATTAGGATGAAACAAATAGCTACCAGTATGAAAATATTAAACCAGCACTGACAAATTGCTATTAGAATTGTCTGGTGAGCAAAAAATTGCTAGATATTTAGTAAAGTTTTATTATTTTTTTTTATTAATTCTGCATGATTTCATATCTGAAAAGTACTTAAAAGAATGCTTAGCATGGTGTCCAGTACTTAAAGCAGTACATGACACACAGTAGGTATTTAATCTTGATTGCCATGGTATCTGGAATCAGAGAAACTAGCTTCAGATTTCATCTCTGACACTATACATGTGACCCTAGTCAAGTCACTGTAATTCAATTTTATCATCCATAAAATAAAAGAGTTAGACTAGAATGCCCTAAGATCTCTTAGACCTCTGGACTGTGGTCCTATGTTTAAAACATACTTAATAATTCCAGGAAGTTCTACTTATTTGATAGGACTCTTCTAAATAAGAATAATCTGAACAGTTGAAAACTATGATTTAGTGATGTGTATTTTGCAAGGAAAGTGTATAGATAGACTTTTCGATTTATGTGCATCTAATTCTACTCTTGGGACGTAAGTCTGGCTTATATTAACTTCTGATGCATTGTCATCATGAATCTACATGAATCACAAAAGAGTAGCTTAGAGGACTCAATAAAGTAAATGGGGCAATTACATCATTCTCCACTTGGAAATCTACAGAATTTAGTCTCAGAATAAATAATCTTGTACTGAGAAGATGACAAAAGGTCAAAGAACATCACCATGGAAAGAAGAATGATTGATCACACTGAGTCTAAGAAGCAGGAATATCATGCTTGAAATTTAGTGAACTTTACTGGTATTTTTTTTCCTATTTGCACAAAAAATGAACATATCTATAAGCCAAGATGGCAGAATAAAAAATTACACTTGGTCCTGGATCACCTGTCTCCACATAGAAACAAAAAAGGAGTCAAATAAAGTGATGATTACAGTAAGGAGAGAGGTGCTCAAAATTGCCTAACTTGATGATAATATTTTATCTTTCCATCACTTCCTCTGCCTTATCCCTCCTGAACCACTTATTCTTCATGTTCACCAAGACTTTCAATCTCTTCTCACCTCTGTACTTTTCCAGGCCATCATCCCTGTTCTGGCTACACTGTCCCCTCTTCCTAAAATCAAACCCAGGGTGAACCATTTCAACTTTCCACTATCCTGTACTTCCCTTGTCCTATCACTAAAATGCCTTGCCATATCCCAACCCTGGATTATCCACGACATCTAACTCCTTCCCTCCTACATGTACATGCTGCTGAAAAGAACTATAGAAATTATGAAACTATACTGACTGGATCTACTACAAATTTATCCTATCTAATCTATGCCACACCCACTTTGGGTATATCCAAAGTCTCTGTCTTGGCCCTCCTCTCTTTTCTTTCTATACTCTTTTACTTAGAAGTCCATCAGTTTCCATGGTTTCAATGATCAGCTATACGTAGATGATTCCTGAATACCTAGCCCACTGTAGTACTAAACTTTAGTTCTTCGCCACTAGCTACTTTTTTACATTTGGAACTGAATGTCCCCTAGGCATCCAAAACTCAACATGTCAAAAAACCAGAATGGATTATCTCTCCTGCCAAATGTTTCCCTCTTTAGGACTTTCTCACTTCAAAGGAAGCACCAAACTTCCAGTCATCCAGGTTTGAAACCTTTGTGCCATTTTTGATTCTTCACTTTAACTCATATCATACATCTTATCAGTTGCCAAATCTTGAAAAACTCATTCACTACAATATCTCTTCTACATATTCCTTTTTTTTCCCACTCATACAGCCATAATCCAAGTTCTATCCCTCAAAAGTCATCTCACCTGGAGTTTGCATTAGTCTTTCAACCAGATTTCCTGCCTCATCTCTCCTACTCCAATCCTTCCCCCACACAGCTGCCAAAGTAATTTTCCTGAAGTATAGGTCTAACCATGTCAACCTAATACTCAGTTAATCCCAGTGTCTCCCTATCACTACTATCATCAAATACGAACTACTCTGACATTTATAATTATTCACAATGTCTCCTTTCTCTCTTTCCAGTCTTCTTACATCCTACTTCCGTCTGTACAATGTATGGTAGAACTATACTTTTTAACTCATTGCTCTGCACACGTAATGAATTTACATTCTCTTCCCTCCCCCCCACCCACTTCTGATAGTAGATAGTCACTATATACTCTATACTGTATCCACTATATATGGATATAACTAATCACAAATAACACCCTTCTACAAAAATAAGGTCAATTTAAGCCTGTAGGGGGCAATATAATGTACCCTGAGGTTTCCTTGGTTTCCTTGTCTTTGGCTTTAAGGAGATGATGTTAGATGAAAAGTTCTCAATTCAGTTACAATTGCTCCAAGTTTCCATTAGGGAAAAATTCCTAATACCTAGGCAATACCTAGCGTTCTCTGCTTAACCTTTTATTTTATATCTATCTCTAATTAACTCCTGGGCTCTTTCTTGTTTAGTAAAATTCAGTTCCCAGTAAAATTGGGAAAATGTGGGTAAATAAATAGGAAATGATATCTCTATTATAGTGTTTGAGAATAGATAAGTATCAGGACGGGAAACTGAGGAAAGATCCAAACTTTTCTTGGGACCTCCCTCAGCCTAGATCATCTTCTTTACCATTCCTATAGAGCAAAGGACTGTCCTCAGTATCTCCCTTCTCTGTCATAGCTCAGTCTTCCCTTTATTCCATACTTGCTACATCCTCTAGTATCTGAATCTGCCTTTTATACAATTTAGAGAGATTCATTCTCTTACTCAATGGCTTTAATTGATTCAATTTAGTATACAGGCCCCATTCACACTTAGGTCTGATTGAATTTTTAAAAATGCCCCTAGTTAAGGTTCTAGGGTCCAAATGGAATGTTTTGGGCCAAATTGTAAGTTACAAAAACATGATTATATCAATAGGGATTGGGACTATATCAATGACATCACAATTACAGGGAATTCTCAGATAAGGAAACTCTTGCTACCAAGAAATGTCAGCACCTTGTCTGCAACTTAAAATCTTAAAGAACTTCCGAAATAATTGAAAATTTAAGTGACTTCCCCAGAGTTACTGAGCCATTAAGTGCCAGAATGGAGGACTTTAAGCAGGGTCTTCTTCCCTTCCAAGCCAGGTCTTTCTGGAGAGTAGAGCAATACTGTATATACTACATACATTTCTATTAATTTCTATTAATTATATCAATGGATGTAGAAAAACCCTTTGAGAATATATAATATTATCTATTTTCAAAACTAAAAAGCATAGGCATAGAAGGGACTCTTCTTAATATTATCAAAAACATATTTAAAGCCTAGATTGGCACTATCTGCAATGTAGAAACACTTAAAACTTCCTCCATAATCATAGAAATAAAGAAAGGATACCTGCTTTCTCCTCTATTTATTTGTTGTTATACTAGAAATCTAGCTATAATGATAAGAGAAGGAAATTAAGGGAATAAACATTGGCAGACAAGAGGCAAAATTATTTCTGTTCAAGGTAGGTAAGGTTGTTATTTTGGAAAACCGCAGAACAATCATTGAAGAAAATACTCCTTAGCTTCCTTCAAGTCCCAGATAAAATCCCTCCTTCTACAAGTCCTTCCTCATCCTTCTTAATTCTAGTTCTTTCTCTCTGATGATTACCTCCAATTTATTTTGTACATATCTTGTTTGTAAGTTATTTGCGTACTGTGTTCCTCATTAGAATAAGAGCTCCTTGACAACAGGGACTGGTTTTTTTTTTTTTTTGGTTTGGTTTATTTTGTTTGTTTGTTTTTGCCTCTTTTTTTGTATCCCCAGCACTTAGCACAATGCCTGACATGTAGTAGGTACCTAATAAATCTTAATTAACTAAGTTGTGAAATATCCAAAAAC